GTTGGTTTCACAAGCTGTTGTAAGAAGATGAAGGTGTTGTACTAATTGTTCACTTACATGTGTACCAATATTGTCTGAGTCCACCAACACAAGAACCCTATGTTTTCCAATTTGAGCTAGTAATGTCAGAGTCTGTCTGTGCCGAGTGTGCCTCACTGGTACTGCTAGCACTGCTAACACTTCCTAGTCTTCAAATGGTAACTCCACATCACTATTCATCCACAATGGATTCAGAGATCTCCATGGCATCAAGAAAATCTTCCAACACATGCAGAGATACATGAGGGGGGGACATTTGTGTGTTGGGTTCCATTTTTCTTCACATTTTTTTTCGAACGCGCGTGCAGCACGTATTTCATTAAGAGGAAGTAGACAACACCGAACCAAACAACAACGACTGGCCGGTAATCCTAAAATTACCAGCACAATCCCACAAACACAAACGATACAGCAAGAAAGCACCGGGGGTAGGGCCTCCACCACCAAACCCTTACAGACTGAGCCTATTATAGGAAGACAAAACACATTGGTAGCCTAAGGTGTAGTGTAGCTAAGCGCTTAGCCAGCATCCACCAAGGAAGCCAAGGAGCCGGCACGACAACAAGCGGCAAAGCATCCGCTGACAAGAAACGACCATGGCGGCCAAGCATCCGTCGGAAAAGGACCATTACGGCAAAGCATCCGTAACGAGGGCCATCACACGCCAGTAGCTGAATGAGCGTGGAGACCAAGCGACGAGGTGGCCAAGCATCCACCCAAGCAGCAACAGCGGCAAAGCATCCGCCAACGAACCGAACGACAGCGGCAACAACAAACACCGAAGGACAAACCAATGTGAAGATAGAGTTGAAGCACAGATAGACAAAGTAGAGCAGGCAACAACACCGACGGTCCAGGCCACAGGACCGCCCGTGCCATGTCAAGAGCGGCAGTGGAGAAGCAGCAGCACCTCTTGGCCTTGAAGAAGCAGCCTCTTTTCTCCACATTTGAAGCACGACAAATTTTGCCTAGCTTCTGAATGCTTTTAGAGTCACCAACTTGTCGTCGCTGCCTGTTTTGGGCCCTTTTCCTGCGGTCTTGCTTATCTCCTGAATCTTGGTCTTCTCTGGTTGCACTGGAACTTTTGCATTTCCTCTGGTGAAATCCCGCCTAGAGGACCTGATGTGACCTTGATCCAATTCTTGCTCCTGAATGAGGGCCAAGGCACTAGCTATGTCGACGTCACATGGACGACGAAGCATGATAGTGGCTCTAATATCTTCTTTGAGGACACCCATAAAGAAAGCGACGAAGAACATATCATCGAATGTAGTAATGTATAACAATGCCCCATGCACCAACTTCTCAAATTCCTCTTGATACTCTAGCACATATCCTATTTGTCACAATGAATCGAGTTGTCGCAGCATAATCTGATACTAGTCTTTGTCGAATTTCGCCATCACGAGCTCAGACATTTGATGCCACTCATTGATCTTGCCTCGACGCCACCGTCTGCAACTAGGTGGCTGCTGTGCCTTGGAAATTGAGCGTGGCAAATCATGTCTTTAGCGAGTTGTGATATGTGTAGACATCGAAGTACATCTCGCATCGATCATGCCAAAGATGGGGGTTAGAACCATCAAACTTGGGGAATTCGAGTTTGGGAAAGGGGGCAGAACGAGATGCCAATTCATCATGTGATTGCAATTGAGAAACAAGACCAATTGGCATACTGATGGCCCGGAGTGACGGATGGGACCTAAGGATCCCATCGCCAGCATCCTGGTGTATATGAGCAGAACCTTGCCCCGTGGGCTGCTCCTTGATCCACCTAGATGGGCGCGTCAATGAACCCCGAGCCAGGTTGAGATCTAGCCACCTCGGAGACAAGTGCATGTGGTGGTGGTGGCAGAAGGCCGCGCGTCCGCCAGCGAGTCGTTGGCGGTGGTGGCAGAGGTGGACGTACCTCCAATCGCCCGATGCGTGACGCCGCGTCCTCGATGTGGGTGGTCATCTCCATTGACCACTGGAGCAAAGTACCAAACACCAAATATGTGCCCGTCTGCCCATTATTCCAGGCTGCTCAGCTTGTCCAACATCTCCTTCATCATCGCTTGTAAGCCCTCAAACTGAGTGACAAATGAAGCTTGGACGGCTTTCGAGCTGGCGCTAGAACGAACACAGCTTCGACGAAAAATGACCTTGTGACTTGGAAGGCATCGATACCTTTTTTGCGAGTAAAGAGGGGCTTTATTAACTAGGCAAAACAAAGTTACAATTGTTTCTGAGGAAGTCTACCACACACGCAGGTGCTTCTTCCCACCTAGCTTCAGAAAGTATGCATTGCCTAGCTAAACAAGCCAAAGCATTTGTCGCTTGATTTCCATCCCTCTTTACTTGAGAAACTCTCCAACCACCAAATAGCTGGGTAAGGCCCTTGGCCTCCGCGAGGACAGCACCGATCTCCGATCTATCCCTCTCCAGACTTCTCAACGCCGACACGATTCTTGCACAGTCCGTCTCGACTACGATTGAGTAACCCCCAGTGCACCGCCCTCTGGAGTCCTTCAACGCAGGCTAGCGCTTCTACTTCTGCTGCACTTCCACATTTATCAAAGTATCTCCATGCTGAAAAGACAACCTGGCCATCCTCATTCCTGGCAATAACACCCACACAAGCCTCTCCCAATGCTTCCACGAAGGAGCCATCCACGTTGATCTTCATCCATCCGGCTAGTGGGGGACGCCATGTTTGGCCTAGATTTGCTCTGCGTCGTGTCCCAGATGCTGGCGTCGACACCGTCCGGCAGGGTTCCTTTCCTTCGGCGTCATGTCCACAAGGTGGGTTGGCCACTGTGTACAGGCTCTCCCAATAGCTGAGGAGGAAGCCAACTGATTCTTTCACAGAGACAAGACCTGCATCATGAACAATGTTATTATTGACATACCATGCTCGCCATAACAGAAGTAGGAGGGCGTTCCGCTGGTCATCTGTGGCACGGTCAATCAGTAGCAGCAGCCATTCGCCACCAGTATATCGACACTGTGCCTCGTCCGGCAAATCCCAGTGATCACGCATAGCGTCCCTCAGCGTCCACGGCTGTGGACAACTCATGACTGCATGATATCTGGTTTCCTCTTCCTGCCCACACAGATCACAAGTCGGAGAAGGTTCCAAATTTCTCTTGAACTTATTTTTCTTTGTTGGGAGGATGTCACGTCCCAGCTTCCATGTGAAAATTCTGACTTTGGGTGGTACTTGGCATTTCCATACATTTGTCCACAGCCTCCTGGAGACATCTGGATTGGCACTTGAGTCCTGGCTGGAATCTCATATAAGTGCAATATTATAGACACTTCTCACTGAGAATTTGCCGGTCTTCTCCCGTTGCCAGGCAACAAAGTCTTCAGTTCACCTTCGCCCCAGTCGAATCTTGGTAATGGCTTCTCTATCAGCTGGATTAAAGATGCTGTTTATTCTGTTATAGTCCCAGTCCGAGCTGTCTGAGTTGAGTAAGTCTGCCACCCATTGTATCCGGTTCCTACCTCTTAAGGTTGTGACGCAGTTTGAAAATCCTCTTGGGATCCAGGGGTCTCTCCAAATATGTATGTCTTCCGTCTCCCACACGCCAAATGACTCCTTTCTTTAGCAGATCGAGACCATGCAAAATTGCCTGCCACGTATGGGACGGATTGGAGACAAAAGCCGAGAGCAGGTTTTGGCTCCAATGGCTAGTGGCTTGTGTGGGGGTATTTATAATTCCCCAACTCAGCCATTTTAGCTCTCTTGCCCATTGTTTCAGCTGAACAAACCTATTGGAGTGCAAGGAAGTGTAAGAGTCTAGTGAGAAGATTGTGATTTGATAATTCAAGATTAAGGACATCATTAATGCATAGGGAGTACAAGTGTGCATCCACCTTCCTCATTAAGTTTGTCATGGTCAAGTGAGAGTTTGTGCTTGTTACTCTTGGTCATCGGCATCACCTAGACGGCTTGGTGGTGATTGAGAGTTTGGTAATCATCCGGTGGAGCCTGTGGATAACCCAACTCATCTTGTGAGCGGTTATGGGTAATTCACCGCGTGGGAGTGACAAAGAATCAGCTTGTAGAGAGCACTTATCCCTTACGCAGATCGAGGGGGAGCTACACCCTTGTGCGGGTGCTCCAACGAGGACTAGTGGGAGTGCCGACTCTCCGAAACCTCGGAAAAACATCGTCATGTTCATTTCCCTCTCTCTTTACATAAAGTATTTATATTTGATCAATTTAATTCTTGTTTTTATATTCTTAGAATTGCTTGGAACATAAGGTACAAAACTTTTGTACAGTAGAACAAATAGAAAATACTATTAGGCAAAAGGGGTAAAATGGGCGAAGCGGTAGAACTTAATTGTTGCGAGAAAATTTAGATTAGCGCAATTCACTTCCCTTCTTGAACATCTCGATCCTTGTGGCTAATTTTATCTATGGTTGAGAAAACATCTCAACAGCACAATGTTGAGCATCGGTCTGTATGTGGCTGTGGGACCAATGTCAGAAACACGGTAGTATTTCTTTCCTGCGCACGCGAGTGCATCAACGTCGGCTGAGAAAAAAAAATTACTTCCTCCGCATCGATGAAAGTAGATGACTCAATGTTGACCTTTTTTAACTTACCATAGTTTCCACAGTGGTACTACCCGATGCTCAAAGAAGAGAGGGGGTTTCAGCATCAACTTAGTATAATTGACTTGAAAGAATACAAAGTAGGGGGGGAAAATATCAAACAGAGGCTCGTCAGTATTTTTCTCTCATAACGAAACAACTTTAATACCAACCAAAAAGATTGCAGGAGATTCAATCCCCTCACATTGGAGAGTAACCGAACAAGCTAATGTGATTAAGAGATTTCAATAGCAAATTCCATTTCCATTAAGAACAGACCACCATAACATCAGCATCAGTGCAAGATAAACAAGCAGGTTACCCAGCGACCGAACAACTCTCTAGGACTACGAACAAGCATAATGTTACCAACATGCCGGTGCCACCAGAAGGAAACAAGACAAGCACAAATCCTACAAGCAGCCACGAAGCTACGACGACGACGGCTTCAGGGGGAGGAGGAGCCCGCCTCGCTCAGGCCCTCTCGCCCCTAATGCGGCGCGCCAGCTGGATGTCCTTGGGCATGATGGTGACGCGCTTGGCGTGGATGGCGCAGAGGTTGGTGTCCTCGAAGAGCCCCACGAGGTATGCCTCGGCGGCCTCCTGCAGCGCGGCGACGGCGGAGGACTGGAAGCGGAGGTCGGTCTTGAAGTCCTGCGCGATCTCGCGGACGAGGCGCTGGAAGGGGAGCTTCCTGATGAGCAGCTCCGTGCTCTTCTGGTACTTGCGGATCTCCCGGAGCGCGACGGTGCCGGGGCGGAAGCGGTGCGGCTTCTTCACGCCGCCGGTCGCCGGCGCCGACTTGCGCGCCGCCTTGGTGGCCAGCTGCTTGCGGGGCGCCTTGCCGCCCGTCGACTTGCGCGCCGTCTGCTTCGTGCGGGCCATCGGGAAGCTTGGGTGCTTGGCGCGGAGGACGGCGAGCCGGAGGCGGCGGTGGATTTGGGGACGAGTTGGTTTGCTGGGGGATTTAGGAGTGATGCGAGGCGTTGGGATGGAGCGGATCTTTATAGGTGCGGAGCGGGAGCCGGGAACTTTTTCAGGGATGGGCGTGGTGACGGAGTGGCGTTGGATGGGAATGGACGGCGCCGATGAGGTGGAGGCGGAGTCACGATCCGCGTGATGGGTGGCGCTGGGCTCCTATTGGCTAGGACTGAATGGGGAGGATCGGAGGGCCTACTGGTCGGTGGGTACAGATGGTTTTCGGCTTCTTTTGGAAGCCGCGCCACCACGCCAATTTGGTTTGGCCGGGGCGCCTCCGCGGTCCGCGCCTCGGTGAAAGGCCCGTTCGGTTTACCCTAATATATTTGGTCTGTTCGGTTTAATTTTTTTAAGTTAAAATAATATTTTTTTTCTCACAGCAATTCAATTAAAATAATATTTTTTAGTTAATTTCAACCCAGATTCAGCAAGCGAACGAAACCGAACGAGGCCTGAGCGCCTGGCGGTGAAAATGAGACAGGCGGGACCTGGAGCGGACTGTGGAATAAAAAAATGCAAGAAAAAAAAAGACTTGCAAGTGATTTATCTGAAATGATTCAGTTATGGGCTATGTTCGTTTATCTTATAATCCGTCTTTTTCAACCGGAATAGTATTTTTTTCTCACAACAAATCAACCAGAATTATATGCAAACGCACTTACAGTGACTTTACCGTAATCATTTTTTTTATTTTGCGTCAATATACCAACTACCCAAAGAACACCAAAGGCAAGGTACGAATATGTCTTTTCTCACTAATCAATCACTGCAGCTAGCCCTAAATGTACGTTGTGTGTGATTTAGAAAATATTTAAAAACATACGAAATTTGTCCTCATTGTAACTCATTTTAGTGCACTGTTTGTTTTGAAAATGTTGAAATGGTGACATGCTTACTATCTTTTGTTTCAAAGTACCATCTTGTGAGTTTGTGACAGCCTTGGATAATGCTGGATGAGAAACCATCGCCCTTGTTCGTTTTGGCTTGTTTGGCTTATAAGTCATGGCTGAATGTACTGTTGGTTGGTTTGGTGTAAAAGAAAAATATTGTTCGTTGGCTGATAAGCCATGGCTTATAAGCCAAATACGACCAAGCGAACAGGCTGCATACAACTTGACTTTATGTTGTTTCTACAAATTATTGTCCTGTTCGCTTTGCTGATAAGCCATGACTGAAAGTATTATTGGTTGATTTGTTGTGAGAGAAAAATAATGTTCGTTGGCTGAAAAAGTACGGCTCCTAAGCCATGCGAACAGGACGTATACCATGCAATTGGGATTTGTGGTTATAAACACTATTGAACTAACCTAGTATGACACTAAGCGATTCAAAGCTTGATGATTGACGGAGTTTTTGACCGCAACAATGTTGGATAGCGTATTACGCACAGGAAATCAAAATGGTAGCACATGTGACACAGATTTATATTGGTTCAGGTACGTGGTACTCTACATCTAGTCTGAAGTGTGGTACTCTACATCTAGTTTGAAGTGCTTGAGTTACAAGAGGTTGTTGGCTATTCTAATGGGTACTGATCGAGAGCTCCCTACTCCCCCTTATATACTCTAGGGGATAGGATTACATAGATGGCGACCATTTTATGTATATGTTTCCTAGATAGTTATAGGGAATAATAACAGAATGACTATCGTATCTCGACGAAATCGGCATCCAAGTTCCCTACATTGGGTTGCTTGATCGCTACGTCTGATGCCGTACACTAGCTCGAAGTAGAATCTATTGATTCTCAACATGAAGATATCTAATGGGATAAATCAAACAAGCATATGGAGTGACTCATGTGTGGTATTTGAATGGTCTACATTATATTGTGAATTTTTAGATAAACTCCTTAAGAAGTTGGAGGGCCTAGTATATGGTGATTCTCTTTTGCTAGGTCCAACGCTAAAAAACCTACTTTCTTATGACTATATGGTTTATTCAAAGATGAAATTTCATGCTATAGCCACAGTATTTCTGCCTTTATTTCCATCCAGGCTTTGCAACATTTCAAAAAACACTGCAATTATATGTATCTATCGTTGATACAATGACACAATGTTTGTCTCAACCTCTCAGCAGCGACAGCCACTGCTGCTACAAATAATTCTAGCCGAATAGGCCCATGGTCATCAACCATTATCAGCCGAATATTCATAAGTTCACAGTGTGAATCACGATCGGCTCGGCACCTTAGTGCCTCATAAATTTGTTGAGACCAAAATATTCTAGATCTGCCAATATATGAAAGGGCATATACATCTTGCAAATCAGTTACTCCCTGATCTGATTGATGTAGGTCACCTTCTCCAGTGTGGAGAATCTGCACAAAACTGTAGAAGCCACAAGACTAGGGTCAACTAGGTGCCCAAACCATACATATTAGGGTACATACGGCTATATGGCAGAAGTGGAATATAAAACACACCATTAAAAAGTTTTATAACTACGAAAAATAATATAATAGACATAAATTGTTCTAAGCGTAGCTCTAGTGTAAGAGTAAATCAAAGCATGGGAAAAAAAGAAAGAGATTAAAATTTGATTTAGTAAAGTGCTAGCTCGGACATCCAATGGGGATTAATTTCATCGGACGCCCGCCCGGACGCCTGACCCGCCCCTATCCGCGCACCCTGCCTCCATCCCCATCCGTTCGCTCCGCCCCCGCAGGCGCACCCCCGTCCCGTCGTGCCCCCACCCGCTGGCCCCAGCGCGCCGAGCACCATATCTGCCAGCCACCGGCTCGCCGCGCCCCATTTCCCGGCGCTTCCTAACTCTCCGAACTGCATGAAACACGTGCAACATAAAACACTTGAATGCAACATACATCTAAAACAGATGAAACATCTGGAACATACACTTGCAACATATGTGTGAAAATATATACAACATCCAGATAGAACACTTGCAACTTGCAACATGAAACACTTGCCGCAATAGAAGACTGGAACAGATGTAATATTTTGGAACATACTGTTGCAACATATGTGTGGAAACATATGCAATATCCAGATCAAAATGCTTGCAACATACGTCTAGAAACAGATGAAATATTTTGAACAAACTCTTGCAACATGCCTATAAAATAATTGCAACATATGCAACATCCCCCCACCTACTTTTGCAACATCCATATGAAACAATTGCAACATATATCTGAAACTCCTGAAACACTTGAAATATACATATGCAACATAGGGGAGGGGAAGATCGGGCCTATTGTGGGTCGGAGATTTGGGAGGCAGTGAAGCGGCACACAGCAGCACCACCGCCACCAATGCCACCAGTACCAGGCTTGGCTTGGCGACAACAGTGGAGGATGAGGCTAGGAGCGCCATGGCCGCCGAGGTGGGGGGAGCTCGGTCGTCGGGGTGAGAGAGGGCCCCGCAGGGGGTGGGGAGTGCGCCGCGGCAGGGTGGGGGAGAGCCTCCCACTCCCTAGCAACAACGCCGCACCACCTCCATGAATCTCGTCGAGGTGGGGGAGAAGGCCACCGGATCTGCGGCATTAGGGGCTCCCCGTGGGTGAGGATGTCGAGGTGGGGGGTGGGGCGCCGCCGGGTAGGGGAAGGAGCCACCGGGATGCGGGAGGAAGATGCTGGGGTTGGGGAGGGCATGTGCCGGGATGGGCAAGTGAGAGAGAGAGAGAGTGGACTAGCAGGGAAGCACGGGAGATAGGAGCTTGTTGGGCAGCGCAGCGCGTGCGGAACAGGGCGAGGCGGCTAGGAGTTGATTTTTTTATTTAGACGAGCAGTGAGATAAAGTCGTGGTGCGCGTCACGCCATGCGTCCGAGAGAGTCACCCTGGGCATTCGGTCAGACCGAACCGATCGGTTCGGTTCCTCGGTCATTCGGTCAGTTCGGTCATCAGAAACCTGGGACCGATCGGTCTTTGCAAAAAATGAAGACCGAGGAAGTTCGGTCTCGGTTAGTTCGGTTCGGTCTCGGTCACGACCGAACTAACCGGACCTGAGTAGCAGCCACAAACAATAGCATAATCTATAGCAATTTTCAACAGCATGCTTGCTATTTGAAGGCAAAAAAATAACAACACAATATATAAAACAAACCACACATTATTATGACAAGTTCTAGCACACAACTTTCTCAGTTCTCACAAATCACAATCACACGTAATGACATTACGAACGAAGTCTACAGAACTATGGTTAGTTCGGTCACTTCGGTTAACCGACACATATGACCGAACTTATATCGGTTACTTCGGTTAGTTGGGAGCCAGGACCAAACTCAAGACCGAACTTTTCGGTCTCGGTCTTTTTGGTTCGGTCTTCGGTCTTCGGTTAATTATGCCCAGAGTTACGAGAGAGGAGTCGCCGGTGTCGGACGTCCTAGCATTACCATTTGATTTATACACTGCAGCCGCCAGCTATCGAACAGAGAGAAAAGGTTCATTGGTTTGCATTTCAAACATGGTTCTACTCATGACTAATTGAAATGAATAAAATTATTAGCCGGCAGCATGCATGCAGAGCGACAGCGACTCATGATTACATCGTGTTTTTATACAAAGAAGATATAGACAAATAACTAAAATAAAATTAAATCCATTGCTTAAAATTGTTTCAATAGACCTGTTCAGACATTATTATCAACAAATTCCTAATAAAACAAAAACATGTTTTTTGTATTAAAAAAATGGCCTTCCCAGAACTAGCGGCCCCATCTCACGGCGCACGGCCCAGCCCAACAGGCCCGCTTCCTCTCCAGCCCACCCGCGGGTCCCGAAGCTTTCTTCGTCCCCTCCTCCCCCGTGCTCATCACATCTCCCCCATTTCACCGCCCCCTCCGAACTCGCCGTTCTCCTCTCGCTCCGGTGAGTCCAGATCCGTCTCCCTATTCGTGATTCATTCATGGAAGGCATCTGTTTTTTCATTACTTAGGGTTAATCCCTGCTGTCCTCTGCAGTTGGATTAGGCTCTTCATCTGCTCGCCGCAGTTCGTCGGTCGCCCATGTGAGTAATCCGATCTGATCCATCCCCATCCATACTCTGTTCCTTGCGGTCTCCTCTCTCTGATCCGTATCCAAGCATCGCGCGTGGATTGACCGGGTTCCCGTTGACGATGCTCGGATCGGTCGTGCCTCTAGAAACTCGTGGATTTACTTCCTGACAAATCCGTGGATGCTTGTTTACTCTTTACTCCCTGAGAAATTCGTGGATGCAATGTAGTGGATTTGATAGACGATTATCAGGCGCGTTGCTTATTGGTGCCGTGCGTTGAATTACTTGTTGCTCGGTTAAGGGGGTGCCAGCCTCACCCAGCCTGCGGCATTGGCAGGACCGCAGGATCGATAGGATGACGCATGGGTCACCACTCACCAAACAAACAGTTGCATCGTCTTTGTTTATGTGTGATTCCTGATGTTTATGTTTGCGCCGTTGTTCTTTGGTGTGAAGTGTGTATGCTTTCATCGGTACTGATCGGTGTTCTAAAAACTGTTTAGACGCTAGGAAGAAGGTTAGGCAGCTTGTAGCATCTAGTCAGGATTAGCCAATGGCCAGTTATTAGGCGTTGGGCAGAAGATTGGTGTGTAGGCAGGGCAGGAAGTAGTTTTTAGAACAGGTGTGTTTATTCTAGTTTCCTTTCATTGCCTCTGATTGTTGTATTCACTAAAAGTGTCTTTCCTAATAAACTTCAAAATGTTCCGAGATGCTTCCTCAGCTCTATCTCCATTCAGAACAGCATTTATGTTAGAATAGTTAAAAAGTAAGTTGTTAATCCTCTGTGAGTTATGAGTTATGTGAACCTCTTTGACTAAGCTTGACATGGAACAAGTGTAAAATAGATTTGGTTTCCATTGGTTGGAAATTAGCGTGTTGTTTGTAAACCAAAATGGTACATCAGCTCTGTGGTTTGATGTTCAATAGCTTAGTGTATTTCTGCAAGTGTTGTTAAAAATGTTTTGGCGTGCTAAGAGGTTCCTGAAAACTTCATCTAGAAATACAAATTTCTTGTATCGTTTTTCAATTAATAACATGTGTTCATGCTAGATGGTAGTTGCCTATTTTTTACTTGATTTTTTCGAGTTCTCTAATGCTAGACATTCAATTTGATTTCTTGTTTTAATCTCTGTATCTTGTGTTGTGTTACAGGGCGGATGAGGAGGTTACTGATCCAAAGGCGCTCCTAGAGGAACGCTCAAAGGCTAAGTGTGTGTCGCAGTGGTATGAATATCAGGTAATATGCTGCTATATCAGTTGTTGGTTCTTCATTTTGTATTGGCTGTTGCTTATGTGCGTGCGAACTTGATTAAATTATTTGTATAAATGATACATCCTATAAACTTGCTAGAACAATGTGCATCAAGGCAAGTTCTTGATCAATTGAAGAGTGTTTTTGAACTTCTGTTGAAATATCTATCTGTTGTTTTTTGTTTAAGTCAGGCTGCTTTTGGGATATACTTTTGAGCCAAGTTTATAGGTCAAAATATGGTCTGCTTATAACCTCCGCTAGAAAGAAAATCTGCTTATATTATATTTCTGTAGAATTTTATACTATCTCAAGGACCTTCGGAATAGAAAGTTCCATTATTTGTTTTAGCAACTCTATTTTGCTGAGAGACTAGTAGTATTATATAACGTAAAAGGGGATTGTATCTTGGGTTTGGACTGCATTCATACCTCCCACCTGTTTTATCTGTAATTTTATGAACCTGTCACTATGTGCATTCCAATTTACTTTCCAATTAGGAAATGGACACAGCCTCATATAGACACCTTTGACTACTCTTGTTTCTAAGTACATACTACCAAAAGCTAATTAAATGATGACGAAGAACACTTGATGATGAATCTGCTAGTAATTCTCAGATAACATATCTAAATAGTAAATATATTAATGTATAGTAGTGGTTGAAGTCTTATAAGTTTAGCTGAGCATTTTATGTTGACATCTAAGTTGGACCCCAATGGTAGTAATACTAATGGCCACCTTGCTGTTCTGTGCTTATGTTTCAATTTCACAATCCTACTAGAACTTCAGGTTTTTGCCAGTTTCATTTCAAGAAATTCTCCATGTCTTATTTACTAGTATAGAGTATGATATCTTTGGATGTGATACTGGAGCAAGAGCTTATGAAACTTATGTTGTGCACAGAAATGTGTTAAGAGGATTGAGAATGACGAGACTGGGCACAAGCACTGTACCGGCCAGTACTTTGATTACTGGAAATGCGTTGACAAGAATGTGAGTGATTCTTGCTTATGTGTATTATATACTCGTATTCTATTAATCGAAAAAATCTATTAATCTTGTTGATGTGGCCAGTACTTAGTTTACTGAACACTAGCTTACTTGTTTTGATCGTTGCTACTATGCAGGTTGCAGAGAAACTCTTTGAGATGTTAAAATGACAAGGAAAGTTTTCCCTCCTTCAGTTATTATCCACCCAAAGTTGGTAATAATTGTATCACTTGTGCGACCTGTAGACTATTAAGGCGCTTAATATTTGTCAGAGAAGTTTTGCCTCTTGGGTAACACAAATTTTCCACTGCCAGTTTGCATTTCATTTCTGCTACTAGTATTGAACAAGCAGGTTTCCTCCTGCATTGTTGGATAAAAATCAATGGAATATTTCCAAGATTGTGGCTGAGCATTAAATGCTGTAATATACCTTAATTGCTTTTACGGTGTATTTTGATGAGCACATAGCTAATCATTCAGGTCCTAAACTTGGATGAGACGGAATAACATGTGTACATTACTTCTAGCTTGGTGGTAATGATTTGTCACGAGCAGAAGTTCGTAGTACTGCACTGGAATGAAACATTGGCACAACATAGCTTTTGTCCAGATGTTGTGAATACACATGGATGCTATTATGAGGAGAGCTTGTGGTTATTTATTACAGCATCTCTTGCATACTTTTTGTTTGTGTGGTTCCCCATCAATATATGTTTACTGGCCCCTGTATATGGAGTTATCTGGTGCATTTTGGTGGGGTAAAATCTGATGGAACATCTTTTTTCTTTGCCATGGAGTGGTTTGGTTATTGTGTTTCTCATGTTCTGTTTGCCATGGTTGGTGTTGTGCTATGGCGACTACTGACAAGAGGTCACTTATTGTTAAGTTGTGGTCGAAATCTCTATCATCCGATGTGGAATGCTAAATCAGTTATCTCCTGTGCTTGCCACGAATTTGTTGCATCGATGCTTTCTGACTGGATTACTTTGATTGGATGTTCTCCTTTGCTTTGGATGATGGTGATCCATGTGCCCAGACCTGGCATAGCGAAAATCTGCCTGAAAGATGTTTCAGATTCGTGCAGTGCATGCACCGTAGCAATTCCATCATGTAGACGGTACGAGTGTACTAGAATGTTCCCAAAGGTGTTTCCAAGTTGGGTCTAAACTCTATTTTGAGATTTGTGTCAAGGCTAGTATTATGATTATGCTGAGAGCTATCCAGTTATAGAGTGGAAGCACTAGGGATGCCCATTTTAGTTTTTCACGATTTGATTATTTTTAAGTACTTAACTTTTGCTAGGCACTTGGATATATACCTTCTAAATATATATCACAAAAACAATGTAGCTAGAAAAGCCAAAATATCAGGAGGGAGCAGGAGGAAAAGACGATCGATGCATGTATTCGGCTGCGTGGAGTCCAGCCCTCAGGACGGATGCTGTGCCATCCAGATCCTCCTAAGCTCTGCCCAAACCCAAAGTGGGGTTGCCGTTGCTCATCTTTGGCTTGCTCGGAGCTGTACCTCATCCAAAAAGGCGTCCCTATTGGATCTGGATGTAGCCTGAGCAGTATCATACACCAGCGAACAGTGATCTTATCCTCTTTTGTGCCAGTTGCAGTCCGATTGATTTGCTTACCCACTGCCAAACATATATTGTCTTCCTAGCATGATTAGTGCTCCATCAACTCGTTTAACCATGCCACTTATCGACCAGGTTATTAGGTCCAATATCTCTATTTCTCAGGGCACACCACATGGGCTGTTGCCTGAATGGAAGAGCCCTGTGGAATGTTAATAATCTGCTAACAAAAGAGTGGAAATGTGTTATGGTAGCATGTGCTATCGTTACTTCGTTGCCACTACAAGTCACAAGCAGTCAAGCACTGGTATTCAAAAAAGAAGATTACTCATCTACCACCACATGGGCGAATTTAGGCCTATTTGTCGGGTCCATAAAATAGGTAAATTCTTTAGTAAAATACCGTTAGGATTTAAGAAAATCCATGTAATATAGAGAAGCAGATCCTACCCTGAGAATGCTCTTGGCTAGCTTCGCTTCAATCTACCACAAAAATACGCTATTACAGTGAGCTGGCTGCAGCTCCTTTCATTCTCCAGGAACACAGCGGCATTATTTCTTCTTGATTTACGTGTCTGCTTGATTAATTTGGATGTCAAACTGTTATAAAAAGAGAGATCCAATCTAGGAGGAACTATACAGTTTTTCATCATTAAGAAAAGAATAGATTTCCAAATTCAAGCCAGGTGAAGCTTTCAACCTAGATGGTTGGTTGTTTAACCATACCTCCCACCAGAGGCTCACTTACTTCCTCTGAAAAATTGTTTTCTTCGCTGTGATATCAGCGCATCACCAAATTCGTGGAAACCTTTAGCAACCAACGACTTGAACTTTGGGGGGCATGTTTGGAAAGCAAAGTTGTCGTTAGGTAATACTCCATCTATAAAAACACTACTTACATTTGACTTTGCACAGTCTTATGAGCCGTACTTTTTCAGCAAAGAAACATAATTTTTCTCTCACAACAAATCGGCCAACAATACTTTTCAGCCAAGTGAACAGGTGCATATCTTTGGCCACTAGTGTTCGATAGAACACATTCTTTAAACTGCTCAATTTTTTTTTAGATTTTGCAACTATTTTCTAATATAGATTTACAGATACATCTACTCTGAAATAAGTGGAGTTCTAGCTATGCTCATGGACAAATACTTGTCTAAGATTTTAAGGTGTGACCAGATCAAAAGAACTTCAGAGTTATTGGTGTCTAAAGATTTTAACGTTTGATAAAATTTTGTCCATATCTTGTTCGGTTTAGACAACAAATTGGAACATATAATAATTACGGTTTTCGAAACGGGCCCATAAACATGAACATTGGCCACTGCATGACCCTGAAGTCCGAAGGGAAGCTCCATTCAGCGGTTGACGTTGACCAAAACAATGGATTTCACTTTTTTTTTAAAAAATTTTGATTGCGTATCTTGACCATGCAACAGACCTCAGATGCCAAAGTGAAAGGGATTCTCCAGTGGAGCAATGATATATCTAATCTATTTTCGGCCGCGAATCCAATTGTTCTTTAAATTGGATATAAGGCCTATTCTGTCTATTTCCTAAAGTGACGAGAAGTATTTGTTGCCTCACATAGTGCTTCAATTATGCTGTTAGCATAGATTCTCTTACGGTCTTACCAACATGGACGCCGGTGCCTGCTGCTCCATTCACGCGTGTCCACGCGCACGTAGGAGCCCATGCCCCATCCGTGCCTCCCCATCCGGACACCCGAGCCCCATCCCGCTTTCCGCCTGCGCTCCTTCTGCTTTTGGTATGCGCATACCGCGTAAGTTTCATGCGCCGCCCCGAACGTCACCAGCATGGGGGAGAGGAGTAGGGGCGGCGGATGCCCATCCGACGCCCGGAGGAGGAGAAGACACCGAGGCGAGGCAGCAGAAAAGTGACGAGGAAGATGCAACACCCGATTTACTTTTGAAACATCGAGATGCAACACTTATGGACAATATATACCTATTATTAGTCATTGAAAGTGACCGAATATAATTCTATGAATTCGAGTTTATTTTAGGATGGAACTTCTACCTCTCCTGATTAAGGTCAACACCTATAAGCAGCAGCAGGTATAAGATCAACACATATGGTAGAGACACACCACAAGGCACCATGCGACACATCTAAAATGGCAGGGATGATGATAGAGCAAAGGAACTCACCAACACACCTTCCAATCTGATTAGATGAATTGGTAGGCCAGTGAACTGCAATGAACAAAGTAATTAGCCTCAGGTGAAGGAATGGTTGTCATGGACATATGCCTGCATTAGGGAGCCTAGTAACCTCAGCCTCAGCATACTTTTTTGAGCGGAAAATACAGCAGGGGAGGCCCCAACTTTTTATAAAACGAAAATAGCAACAACTCTAAACAAGAGGAAACAAAAAGGGAAGCAAGCCCGAGGTGGGCAGCAGAGCTAAACTAGAGCAGCTGTACAAGAAAGAAAGACAGAGCTCTTAGCAGAACTGAATCTATGGGCATGTAGTCTAACTTCTTCATAGAAAGAGCTTTTCCAAGAATCAAAGTATGGCCGGCCTCTGTCAAATATAAAGTTGTTTCTCTGCTTCCAAATCTGCTAGGCGGCAATGATGAAGGTCTCCATAAAAAAGGGATTGTTATGTTGGACCTTGTCTTGCTGCATCATCCGGAAGAAATCCATTGTGAAGTCCCAATTTATACCAAGGTGTTGCCAGCAGGCTTGGCTAAAGGGGCAGCTGAAGAACAAATGAAAAACAGTTTCTTCAACGTTGTTGCTGCATAGAACACAATTGTAGTTGTTTCCTTGAAGCTTGTGCTTTTTTCTTCTCAGAATGTTCCTTGTGTTTAGTCTATCCATCAAGAGGAGCCACGAAAAAACTCTAAGTTTGTTGCAGCATCTGGAGTTCCAAATCCAGAGAAAAGGGGATGGGGGTTGTATATTCTTGTAAGGAAAGTTGTAGCACTTTGATGAGGAGTAGTTCTTGCTTCCCCAAATGTATTCCCATGAATCCTTTGAATTCTGATCGACCTACAGATCTTGAATTAATTCTTGGAGACTTTGGAATTCTTGGATGGCCTGCTCTGATAAGGGCAAGTGAAATTGGGCCTCTAGAGTGTTATTAGACTAAAACCTAGCCACTGAGATGTTCTTATTCCTAGCAAAGGAATAGTGCCTTGGGAATTTGGATTCCAGGATGTTGTCATTCCAAAGGTCAGACCAAAAAAGCACCGTGGAACCATCTCCAAAAGTGCACTTCGCAATTCCTCTTAACATGTCACATAATTTTAGGACATCCTTCCACCAAAAGGAGCCCTTATCTGTCGAAGCATGTGGCACCTGACCCTAGGAATAATGCGCATTCCAGATCAGCTTCACCCATGGGATATCCTTCCTATTATAAAATTTGTCCAGATGCTTCAAAAGAAGGGTCTTGTTTTGACTCCTAAGATTGATAATTACCAATCCTCATTTTCTTTTTGGCTTTGAACATTTACTCTAGGCCACCAGTGGTTTCATCTTTGCATTAGAGTCTGAACCTCTCCAAAGGCAGTGACGTCTTGCTCTATCAATATACTCAATGACTGCCACCGACACCTCC